TTAGATGGTTCAAATGTGCCTTTAAAAATGTTTGAACCAATTGTCTAGGCCCCATTGTAGTCCATGGAAAGGGACATTCACAAAGGAGAACTCCTCAGATTTGTATTGTCAGTTTTCGGCAGTCATATCCTAGCAGGATCTGTTCTACTCTCTTGCACTCTTTCCCAGGGTCTCTCTGAGCCATACTTGGGCCTTTGCTGCCTGTAGTTTTCCCAGGCTACCAATATGTGCCCTAGAAGGTGGGAGACCATAACCTTGGTCTCGAGCTCTCATGTTTCACACAGCCTCATTCAAGGCAGTCTTCTGCTGTGGCAGACAGCGCACCAGCATCTGCTGCTGGCCAAAGTAGAGGCCTTCCCTGCAACTGGTTACTCATGCAGTGGGGTCAGGACATTTTCCAGCCCCAGTCACAAGCAGAGCGAGCTCCTTCAGTCACCACAGAGGAACAGTATCAAAACTGTATGTTCGCTTCCCTTTGAGAGACAACATGCTGTTTTCTGATTCTTTTTTGCCTGAGGGCCCTTGTCTTAAATTGTCATGGAAGTCCTGGGACAGGGATTGCCAAGTGCCCCAGATCTGCACCACCACTTGGGGTGACACCAGTCAACCCCAGCACGCGCTCACTGGGAGCACGGTACAGGTATGACATTGTTCTACCACTCAGCAGTGTGGTGCCTGGCTGGAGCCAGCAGTGCCATCAGCTGCCCAGTCCCTCCACCACCCCAGCTGAGGCAGGCCCCATGCTAGAAGTATATGCAAGTACAAAGTGGTAGCCTGCACAAAGGCTCAGGCACACGTGGGAAAGCTGCTAAGAGTCAGTTTGCTTTGCTGCCATGTATCGCAGTGGGCCTGCAAGCCCCTGTCGTCCTTATCATGCCATTGTCAATGTCCATATGTGCCTCAGATACAGCAGTGTCTTCCATCAACTTAGGGCCCTGCTGTTGCCCTGTTTCAGGGTGTTTCAAGACAGGCTTGGAGACAGCGTTTGCTGTTACATACCTTGTGTGGCTTCTAGGTAAGATAGTGTTTTTGACAGTGTGCTGCTACACGTAACGTTTTTCACTGTTGCCAGCAAAGGGTGTACGTCACCTGATGATTTCACGCATCCTAACTTCTTCCCCTGGGGAGAGCCCTTTCTCGCAGGTTTGCTCCTGACATCTGCCCTGTTCTCATTCACAAATCCAAGGTGGGCCTCACCATGTCCAGCAGCATTACCGAACACTAGCAAGGTCGTTCAGAGGCATCAGGGGCTTAGCAATGCAGCTGGTCCTGCAGAAGGATCTAGCAGACGTATGCCCACATAGCTCTAGAGTTCCCGATTCACTTGCTTTCTTTTTTTCTAAAACGGTTTTTGGATAGACACAAGCTTGTTTGGACACTGTTCCTCATAACTTCTTACAACTATGCAAGGTTTTGAGGTTTCCCACTGATGACCACTTTTATGTGTCATGAGATAGTTAATATTGAAAAATAATTTGCGGGGGAATGAGACTACTTCACCACAGAGATGACTGAACATCAATGAGGAATTTTATCTTTATTTTCATGATGTTAGCACAATAAACTCACACAGTAGCATTGATCTGTACTTATTTAACAAAATACATTTATAGCGATTTACAAATTCTTTTCCATTTGAAAACATTGCATAACATTTTATTAAACACAATACTTTATATAGAGAATTCTCATTTAAAAACATATTTTATTTTTGATTATCTTCTTTTCTCAGTAAAGCACAGCCTAACAAAGAAATTTCGTGCCTGTTAGCAAGTAAGAATATCAGAACACTAAGATGTCACCTGTCAATTTATTTGATTAATTTTAAATTAAGGTATCAGTGGAATGTAAACAAAGAGTAATTTTACAAAAGGCTCCTTATCAAATATACATGCAGAGGTCTGAGTTCCAATGTATATATTATTAAATTTCTGCTCTCTAACGTAATATAATTTGATAAGCCATTATTAAAAACAGTAGCCTTTGGCACTTTGAGTAAAAAAGAATATATCAATATTTATGTAAAGAACACAATTTTAATGATTACACAAGAGCTTTAAAATCTTTTGTTAAGAAATAGGAAACCTTAGGAAAAATACCACACTGCACTTGAAATAGTGCAGCAAGTTTTAGAGTAATAAAAGCAACATATATGCCAATATATCTCTGACTAAAACCAAGGAATAAAGAACAAACACTCCCACCAGGAATCCTGCTGTTTCCGAAACAGCTAAATTGCTAGAGGGAACATTTTCTAATCTTTGCTTTATTGCCATTGTTCTCCATTTCAATTTTCCATTATTTCCAGGTTCATCTACTTATGTTCTTTTCCCCTGCACTTACAAACTAACAAACAATTGCATCTTATTTCCTTGCACTGATAGGCCAACAGTGATTGTGTCTTACCCATTCCTTTAAAGCTAATCCTACCTGCTTTATCATGTACCTAGACTAAACTAAATCCAAAGGGTTTTGTTCATGACAATCTAAGTGTTTGTAATTCCTAGGAACCTTGTACAAAATTTGATACTAAATACCAAGGACTAAAGATTCATCCTTTTAAAAAGAAAAAACAAATCCTGACTTGTAAATACTACAGTCTGAGAACATATTTCTAAAAAAATTACTTTTTTTTTTCTTTTTTTTTTTTTTCCCCCTGGCATCTATGATTATTTTTCCCAGCTAATGTGCCTTAAAGTGTGTCTTCAACATACTGTGCCTTTAACACACAATATGCTGCAACCCTGCTGGTTAGCTTCTTACACGTAACCTGCAGAATACTTCCTCCCGATCATCAAATGTATGATGGGGTTGTCTTCTATTACTAGCAGGAAAAGTGTGGTCATTTCCTTAAGCACCAACACTCTTCCACAGCACTGGGTGATGGGCAGGTGAGGGAAGCATTGCTTGACAGGGTGGGCCGACAGCTCTCAGCTAAGCCTGGAGCACCTGTATAACTGGGAAGGTATATAAAGCTTTCCATTGACTCTGAACCCCTTGTTCTATACAGATTAGCAAACACCATCCTCATACTTCTGAAATGGTGTAGGATTGGCATTGGGATTTTGTTTTGGTTTTGAGTTTTTTTGTTTGGTTGGTTTTGTTGTGGTGGGTTTGTTGGGTTTTTTTGGTCTGTGTGTGTTGTGCTATTTATCTTCTTGGGATGGGATGATCCTTCCTTCTGCCTCCTACTTGGCTGAAGGTAAGGGTGGGGTCTTCCTCAGAGTTCTGTGGGGTAAGGTCTGTAGACAGTTTCTGACTATGTAGTATGTATCTGGTTCGCTGATACCCTAAATCAGAAGAGGACGTGGAGCACAGCACTACTCCCAAGAAGCCAGAGAACAGACCTGATCTGCTACTACCTATTCAGTGAGGGGACTGCTAAGCCATCCCCTCCCCCTTCTAGCAGAGGAGCTGGGAGGTGTCTGATAGTAGCTCTCTTTCAGGTGGAAATAATCTAGGAGAGAATGAGGAGCTGCACTGGGTGAGCACTTGTCCCTGGCTTCCTTCATGGTTTAAGTTACTTAAGTCAAGAGCCAAATGTAATGAGGCATTTCTTCTAGCACGCCCAGGACATGCTATGTTTATTCCTTTCAGAGCTTATCCTTTTAACAATTTTTGGCAATGGAGATTTTTAGCAGGCAAGTTCTTTTATTGTATTTGAAGCTCAATTTACTAAAATAACCCGTGTTCTCTCAGGTGCAGACACCCTCCATATTCTTAAGTGGCAGTGGTGGGAAAAAATAGAATGCTTAGGAAGGCTCTGGAGAGTGTTTCAAGGGAGGTGAATAGTAGTGGCACAATGCAACACTTATTGCGTGATTCTGCAATACCAAGGCATTCCATTTTTAAAGCGAAGCATAAATCCCTTAAGTGATGGTGATTGGGGTGAAACTTGTGATTGTTCTTGTGGCATACTAAGTAAAAATGGGGTGAATGACTGCTTCTAAGACTGAGCTATGGTATTAATTACTGTCTGTTTGGAAGCTGGCCAGGAAAGTAGATGTTTATTTTTATTTACTCATGGCTCACCTTTCACATTTGCATATCTTGCGACTATTCGTGTCCTGCATTATATGGTTAAAAACTAATAGAAAAGTGGAAGGGTTTCTGAAGGACGGAATAAGAGGTTTAAAAATGTAAAATCTGAATTACTTATAGTAGTTTAAAAGACCCCTTAAAAATAATAATTTAAAACAATTCTACAAGTTAGCCCACTAAGAAGCAGCCTCTTCATTAGTAGCACCTGTTCTTAAACAAAAGTTGAGCAGTAGCAGCAAAACTATTCAAAATAGATAGTTATTCCATTCTAATGGAATGTCACCCACACATTTTTTTGTTGCAGTATACATCTTAAAGAACTACACAAAACCTTTGCAATCTTTGAATGTGACAGATCCACTATAACAAAGCTGTAAATATTTCCTACGCTAAATGAATGCAGCCAGCATCATCATAGTATTAGCAATATTACTTTTAAAGTAACTGCACATCAATATGTCATGTGTTTGTAGAGTCTACTAAGTAAGCAATTTTTCAAAACATGTAAAGTTATCATCAGCACCATCCTGTATTAAAGATTTGGTGCAAATTCTGCAAAGGTGAATATATACCACTGATACAGCCTTTGCTGTGAAAAATTCAGTTGATTTTGGACACAAATATAAATAAAATAAAAAGTTGGCACATTCAGGAAATAAAGTGTCTGTCTTCAAGACCCTTACTTTGATTGACATCATCACCCTCAGATAAACATTTTGAGTCTGAAGAAGCAAGTTGCATTAAAATGTTTCACATTTTTTAGGTTCTGGCATTGTGCTTTTCCCCCCACCACATGCTTTCCACAGGCTCATGCACATTGTACATCAGCAGCGTTCAACAACAGTTGGGCTGCTGGTCAGTAAGTTGGCACATCAAAGGTAAATATCAGCTCAAAACAAAGAGAGAAGAACCTGTGTCAAGATGTGTTTACTTTGTGGTGGTACGGACCAGCTGATATGTCTCCTCTCATTCCTTGTATGCTCGTGTGGGGGATGTGCCTTTATAGAAGATGTTTCTGGTGTTCTCTGGACTGCTCCCTCTCTCAGGGATTAAAATGATGTTGCCTTTTCTTCGAAGTGTTGAGTCCCGGCTAGAAGAAATGGACAGAGTCTCTGAGCCAATCTCACTTCCCTCGACCGGGGTGACTCTTATTGTAGTGATTCCATGATGGTGATGCTCACTGTTATCTATGTTACTCCTTTTCCTGTCACCTGACCCAAAACTGTCTTTTAAGGAGTCACAGCTCTCAGAGTCTCTGTTAAGATCATTTAGCTCATATGTCTGACGAAGGGTGACTTTTTCAGGACCTTTCCATTTCCATGACCCACTTCCTTCACCTTCTGATGGCATCTGAATTACAGGTCTGTTATTTTCTGGATGGGCCTCAACTCTGACAATTGTACTTGGCTCATGGTCTGTCAAGGTTTTATATCTGATGGCTCCTGTACAGGTTACTGTGCTTCCCTCTGAACTCTTTGGACTGCCCTGAAGCACTCCTTGCTGCTTAGACATGGCTATTACTTGCATGATTCTTGGCTGGCTATTGCTTCTACATGCAACACTCTTCTCAGCAGCTTTCAGCCATTTAGCTCTAGCTGAACTACTTTTAGGTGATGTGTTCACGTTCTCTTGAGTCTCTTCAGGAATGTGCACTAGCTGAGAGGAGCCAGGACGTGACTGAATAGAGACCCTTGGCCCGCCAGAAAGACCTGAGTTGTTACAACCTGGTACACTGCCAGGTTGAATTTTCAGGTATTGGCTAGCTGGGCCATGATGATCACCATTTACACCCACTCTGGAGGGTTCTGAGCTCGACCTCATTTCAATAGCCCTTGGCGGTGACTGGCCAGATTCAGTCTCTATGACTTGCAGTGACAACTTTCGACTTTCATTCTTGTTCTTCCACTGGGAAAGCAGCTGTTTGGAACGGGCAGAATCCATTGATGCGTGTATTGTTGCATTTCGTCTTGCTGGATCTTCCAAGGATGGTGTGTTGACTCTTGGCAAAGTGTTGCTGAAAGTAACCATATTTTCTTTTCCCATTGGGCTTCGTGGTGTTATTATTTCTACATCAGCATTTGCTCTCTTGAGATTGGTCAGAGACCCTGAATCTCTGTGGTTTCTATTCAGGATACTTTCTGTACGATGAGAGACAATGCCATCACTGCTGCTACCATTTTTACCTGGCAGGATTCTGTTGGCATCTTGACTGAGGTCTGTCAAAGACCTTAGAGGTTCTCTGTGAAAATTTGGGTGAAACACGTTCTCGTCACTTGGCAAGAAGTTCCCCACAGCATACAGGCCCTGATATTGAACAGAAGCATCAACAATCAGTTACGGAAAAAGGAGACATTTTAAGGTATTTTAATTATATACTTCTGCCTTTAAATAAATACTGAGTGATAGAATTAGTCCAGCTTAACCTAGAGGGTATGCTTACTTTCCTTTCCTCACCAGTATATCCTTGTTCCAAATTCTGTCTTCAATCTGGTACATCTAGATATGTATGAAGTAGTCTCAGTAGGATAACTAGGGTACATAGTCCATGGCAATAAATAGTTGAGGAAAAGATTTAGCCTCCTTCAGTTTTCTTCATTTTATAAAGTAACAGATACAACTAAAGAAAGAATAATTTGTTATGAAAATAACAAAACAAACATTTGCAGTCTTCTAGGCAAAGCTATTTTACAGCTACACTACTGCCTGCTCTGATTTACTGAATCTTGTTACAGCTTGAGTTCTTCTCTGCTCTCTGATTCTGCCCTTTCTACTGCATAATAACCACATAATACAATATCTACATGACAGAACAATTTATCAACTTTAAATCAATTGCTTTGCAAGCTGTGCAGAACTGTAACAAGATTTAGTTATAAAACATTTTCTTATTTAGCAGAGTCACTGTAAAGTGCTGTCATTTAAAAAGACTCCACTGAGAGACAATATCCCATGAAAGGGTCAAATGCCTGACTTAATCACTTAGGTTACTTGTTCTTTACACTTTTTTCAGAGTTATTTGTAGTTTCACATTATTTCCCCTTCCTCTGATTAGTGTATAGTTTTCAGGGCAGATTTACTGACTACTGGATATCTATGACAATGTACTCTCTGATGTATGTTGTCATGCAACAGTATATGGAGATGACCTAACAAAGAGCATACTTGTTTGTGGATTTCAAACATGGGAACAACAGCTCCATTTATGAGAGTCTACAACAGCTTAATCATTTGAAATAATATTCCCAACAGAGTGCCTTTCTGCTCACAGTGCAATCACAGAAACTGACTTTAGTAGCTCATGAGGTTTCTACTATCTACCCTGGTTGCTGTTTCTTTGGCCACTGCGAAAACTGTTTTTCCCCTGGTCACCTTTGTAGACGATCTGCACGTACCTTAGATTATCTTATCACAGAAGAAAGGGGGATAGGATGTGAACTCGTTTTAGTATTACACTAAAATTCATCATTGACTTCTTGGGAGTCAGAAACATCCCTCTGGCTGTTAAGACTCTTCTGTACACCTGCCCACGCTGGAGCAAAAATTTTGTCAGTAGAAGTTCCTGATGGCTCACAGGCACCTGGGTTGACTCTGTGCAGAACAGCTAGAGCAGCAACAGTCATGGTGGAGGCATACTGAGAGCAGTAAGCAAAAGGTTGATGAGCCTCCTGCTGAGAGGTACGAAGAGGCCTATTCTACATGCTCCCTTACAGGACCCTTCCAAGTTGCTCCATCTGTTTCAACCCAGTAGAGAGGAACAGCATAGGAATAACCTGGCTTGGACATCCTACTTCTCCTGCATAATTTCCCCAAGAGCTCCAGAGAATCACAAGGGTGTAATACTGCCTTTGATTTCTTGCAGGTTCTGCTATTTACCCAACTGAGTTGCTGCATATTAATTCAACCATTTTTTTGAGATCATAAAGCTAACATTGGCAATGTAAACTCAGGCTGGCAACAAATACCAATTAATCCAATATTTTTCGTGCGTAATGCTTGTAAGCGTGGAGTAGAAAAGATAAGTATCTTTAAGGATTAATGAAGCACATAATGTTAGAGCTGTTTCTGTATACAATGCCAGATGATTATATACCACTGTGCACTGCTATGGCACTTTAAACTGAAATACATACTTGCTTTTTCCTGTTTATTTTTAAAGTCATTACCCCTAAAATCATGATCTTCAACACATTTTGACTATATTTTTAATTATGGCATGTGACCATGATGAAAGGTGTTCAGTACTCTTATTACAGCCTTATCAGTTCTTTTTATTAAAACTTAACTACATGAAAATTATATTTACCAAATAGAGAGCAATTCCTCCTCCTATGAGAAAGCCACAGTAAACATCAACTGGATGACTCTTATATTGGGTGATACGAGTCAGACCACATATAATTCCACAGATGATAAAAGCAAAGACCAAGAGTGGTTTCAGAAGTTTTGAGGAGTCTGTTAACGTAGAATTGAAGTACATCTTGAAAAAAAGAAAGAAATGAAGAAGCAGTTGAAGAAACTTAAATTTACCTAAGAGAATATTAGTTTCTCGCACTCAGTGTTTCTTTCACAAATAGATCACTACTACACAGTAACATTGCAAGTAATCAGTTTAATTTTATTTTACAGTCCTGTTAAAATTTGCTCACTTACTGTAGGAAGATCTGAAATCACAAGGAATGGGTTTCGAAAAACATAGGCAGTGTTGCTTATTGACATCAATTAGGCTAAGGATTTTATGCCTAAATACTGTTCACAGTCAGAGCTTAAATGTTCTGTAAATGTGACTAAGGAGCTACCACTTCTGAAATACAGAAGCCAGATGTCATGCCAGAAGAAAGCAATAGCCTGTTCTAACAAAAGCTACCACCAGATGCTTTAGGAAACCATTTCTCAGCTAGGGGCCATGATGTCAGGAGGTCACAAAAATTAAAGGGAGGTAGTTCATCAGTATTATTCCAAATTTTGGCCCTTCCCTGGGCACAATAACTACTGGCAGGATCCTGGTACATGCACAATTTCATTATCTAATTTGATTAACTGGTTGTTATTGTTGTTGTTTTCCTCTGATTTTTACAGCATGAGTGATGGAATTACTTTTTTTTTTTAAACTTCGAGTATGTTGGTCACTCATACAAACATTCTAGCCCATACTGAAGAAAAGTCATTGACCAGATGTGGAAGACCAACTGTGATCACTGCAGCATGCCCTACAACTCCCTGCTAGTTACAGATGTTTTTTATTCACTTGCTTTGCAGTAAGCACCTTGAAGACCTCTGGGAGTGATTGTGCCAGTTCATCCATGCTGCAATTCTATGGAGGTCAAATGAAACTACATCACAAATGTTTGTTCCTTGATGCCTCAAGTTTTAAAGCAGCAAGTCAAGTGAAGACAGCAATAAAGGCAGATAGAACACATAAAGGTTAATTTGAATGGTAAGTTAAAATATCACACTGTAAGACAGATAAGCACTGCATTTTATACGTGAAAAATGTAAGATATCAAATATACTTTAACATTACACTTTTTGTTGCTTCTTAACAAAGGATATGAAGCAGTTGAATCTTTTCTGTATTCTTAATAGAGCTGGCTTTAGTTTAGCTGTTAGTACTTTTATTTTGCTTTCAAACCAGGAGGATAAAAACTTAATCCATCCAGGACATCCAGACAGCACATCACTTTACAATATACAGCACATGACTTTTCTCTTGTATAAATGAAAATGAACAGAGTTGGTTACTCACCGAAATGTACACTGCTGCAAACGCTGCCAAGGTGGCATGTTGAGAAGGGAATGACTTTCTGCCAAGGAAGGACACTGAAATTATGCTTCTCAGTTCAAATACACTGTGCTAGTGTTCACTTGAAAAAAACACTGTGTGGTACAGTCATTTTCAGCTTACACTTCCTAAGCAATACATGATCGATCAGTAACATTTAATTTCTAAATTTCTTTTCTATAATCTAGAGAAAAGACATGTTAATGAAATGCCTTTGTTTGGAAGTAAATACTTAACATGAAATTCTTTTTGTATGCTAAGAAATCTGTGTGTGCTAAGAGAACAGTGGGAACGAGCTAAAGACTGAATGCTTGATTGAGAGAAATATCTATATCTTTATTTCTATAAATAAATGTCCATAATAACTTTTCAGTAAGTACATAATTATACAACTTATTTAATGCATGAACCTGGATCTTAGGATTATTCTCACTGACTTCACTTGGACCCTTTTCAAAGTAAGGACTCACACACTTTGATAATCAGGCCCTAACTTCATCAACTGAATTAATCATCTTCGTACCCCTGCTTTGTTGCTCTAATAATGGGGGGATAACAGGGTGACATTCTTCTCAGAGAGAGGCAAATTACATCTTTATTTGTTGTGCCTTCAGGTTTATTTTTTAAATTTCAGCACCGTATAACATGACAGGAGTGAATGGAACACAAGAACCATGGAGAGAGCATTTAAAGGGTTACCAGGCCCCTTCCTGAAGCCTAGAACAGGAGAGTAAATGAAAATATGGCCAAACTGTGTGAGACCGTGGGCAATATCGGGTTTACTCTTGAAATTGCTGAAGGCCTTGTGCTTCCATTGAAAACCTGGGGACTTGAATGATATGGACTGGGTCTTGAGTCAGAAAGTGCAGATATCAAAATTAAAAGTGACAGTTTAGCTTCTACTTCACTAACCAAGAAAAGAAGGTTTTGTTTAAGTAGCAGCTACATAGAACCATCACATGAGGACCTCTAACATTTTAACATTATTCTTCTTATAGACCCATTTCAATCCTCCAAAAATAACAAAAGAAAAGTGATGGGAACACGAAGGAGAGATTTTTACACAGTACAGGCAAAAAACTTACTTGAGGGTGGATTCAGTTAACACCTGTTCCATGGCTGACATCTAGTTCATAGCTTGTAAAAACCCTAAAAAACTCCTATGACCTCTGAGCTCTAGAAGTGAGTAAGATGCAATGAAGTTGTATAGCAGTTTATATCTGTACATTTATCTCCTTAAAATGTCATGGACATGTAACATCATGTGCTGGCTTTCTTGGTGAAGAAGGGTGTGTCTTGCAGCCACAGCAGCCACTTTTCCTGGAGATAGCTCAGCTTGGGATAAATACTTGAACAATCATTCAGCTTTGCAGATGGGTCTTGCCACCCTAACTGGGCTCCATTTTCCTAGCAGCACCTGAGTTAGCTATTTTAAAGTAGCAAGGACTGAAACATAGTCCTTTACCTGTAGGCATTTTTCTGCAAAGCAGCAGCATCTACTTTCTAAATTTCTTTCCTATGCATTTTGCCTTGTCTGTTCTAAATAATTCACTGGCAATTAAATGTGTGCATGTAGTTCAGTGTGAATACCACACTGCTGACCTGAATTTGAGCCCATGGCTCCAGCAGGTTCATGACTCTGGCCAAGATGAAATCAGCATGATTTCTTTCTCATTTCTAAAGACAGACCTAAATTATTCTTCTTCTTCTCCCCCACCTCCTGCCCCAACAAACCTTTCACAAATAGTATCCCTGGGGAGCAAGTTCAGGGTGGAGGACAGGAGGATAAAGATATGAAAAAAATGTAAATGTTTATAATGGCTAATCAACTCCTTTACCCTTTGCAGGATTTAGTGGAAGCAGAAATCTAGTTATAGTCTCTGTGGAGCTAATGTGTAGATTTGATTCTATGAACTTTAGTACCACTCAGAACTTAACCTTAATTTGATGGCATTTGTATAGTATATAAGGTGTGTCACTATACTGCAGTTAATTTTCTCTTTATTCTATTTTCTATTCATATGCTTTCAGGGCAAGCACAGCATGTTACAGACTAACTAACTACACAGTGCACTCTGTGTACTCTCTAATGGTGACACTGCTTTTGTTCCTCTATTTGTTATCGTTTAATATAAAATGAAAATAATTCAAGCTAAAAATATGTAGCCTTTTTGTATTGGCTCCATATTGAAAAGGTGAACAAAGGTCTCAAAGAAAACATGTCCTGAACTCAGGTGACAGTGTGTTACTCTAAATGCTCATGCCTGAGAATGTGTAGAGGGGGAACAATGATGAGAAAGTCATACTGAGAGAGAAGTCATACCGAGTCAGAACATCAGAAACAATAGAGAACTCCCTGGAGATCTGAATAGAAATGACTACAAAGGCTTTTTCAAGACAAATAGAGGAAAAGATGGACAAAGGGAAGCACTGGATATGTGGGGATGTTGCAGAAAATTATTTCATATAATCAGTTGGACAATTATGTGGTCTTTATACTTTTCCTAGAGGAGTCCAGAGGCAAATATCTGGAGACAAAGTTTCTGCATAGTACAAATAAAAAAATTAATGCCATTAGCAAGCTCAGAAGCACAAGTCCCTCACAAGCTCAAATTATTGAAGTCAAATTAGCCTCCTGGGCTGCAGAAGTTATGGTATAACTTCTATAGTAGATGACTGAAGGAAGTATTGAACAAGTAGCAAGTGCTCATCACTTTACCAAAGTTGAGACAGGCATAAGGAAGCAACAATTTAATAAAGGAAAAATGCAATAAAATTGAATAAAGGAGAAACTGACGGTGGTGCCAGAATACTGTAGATCACCAAATGTATCCTCTATGGTGGGAATAAATTTGAGATATCACAGAATCATTAAGGTTGGAAGGGACCTTTGAGATCAAGTCCAACCATCAACCCAACACCACCATGTCCCCTAAACCATGTCCTGAAGCGCCACATCCACATGTTTCTTGAACACTTCCAGAGATGGCGACTCCACCACCTCCCTGGGCAGCCTGTTCCAATGCTTGACCACTCTCTCGGTGAACACATTTTTCCTAATATCCAATCTAAACCTCCCCTGGTGCAACTTGACGCCATTTCCTCTCATCCTATCGCTAGTTAGTTGAGAGAAGAGACCAACACCCATGTCACCACAACAGGTGACATGTACAACAGGTAGTTGTAGAGAGCGATAAGGTCTCCCCTCAGCCTCCTCTTCTCCACACTATAAACAACCCCAGTTCCCTCAGCCGCTCCTCCTAAGACTTGTGCTCCAGACCCCTCACCAGCTTCGTTGCCCTTCTTTGGAAGGGGGAAAAAAAAAAATTATCAATTGAATTATCAATATATGGTCATCTTCCTAAAGAAACAGAAACACACAAAACCTGATTGCTTAGTCTTGATTAACCAATCTCGCGGCTTTTTGGAAGTGATGATATTTAAACTTAGGAGTGATCAGTGGTTTTGGAATGGCTACAGGCAGTCAATTCAGAGCAGCAGGCATCATATTTGAGATTATAATGAAATGAATAAGATGTAATTATGAAAATTTTTCTGCCTGCTTACATGTAAAGCTACATGGATTTCCCTGGGACATCAGGTAGGTGCAAGACACTGCTTGCAAGCATCAGGCTTCAGTGGCAGTATCCCAGTGATATCAAATGGCTATAGAAAAAGAGACAGTGATATGAAGGCTGATATAGTAATTCTGGTTATGTCTTTCACAAAAATTATTGTTACCACATTGTGGGGCTAAATAGACCCACAGTCCTTCATTCCAGCTCCGGATCATGCTCACATATATGAATTGAAAAAATATGGCAAATCAATCAATGCTAATTATGAGTCTTAGCCCACTAGACGTGTTTAAGACCAAATGCATCAAATAATTGAGGGTCTTTAAGCATCAGTGAAATTGGTTTGTCCCAGTGAAAGGAGACAGGTTATGAGATTTGCTGCAAGATACTTACAAAGTGAGTCATTTCAGGATTCCCAAGTGTGTCGACCATTGAAATGAATGGAAAAGCAAACAAACGGGGGGAAAGGTGCCTTAATATATAGACAGAACATTTTGATAATAACCATGTGACAAAAATGTAATGCCATGAGACATAAAGTTAAAACAGAAGCTAGCATCTGGGGCTGCATAAAGAACAAGGAAGGATGTGAAGAAGTGAAGTGGATGTGACAGAAGTAACACAGCTTCATGTCTACTAATCATCAGTAATTGAATTCTCACTATTTTATAACATCAAACTTATTTTAAACAAGATATATAGTCTGGTTTATATCTCAACTTGACTGCTGATATGCATATCCAAAACCTGCTATTATAAACCATATTCATTTCTCTCCTGGCTATCTAAGTAGGTAGGCTAAAGACTAAACGATCAAGGAGGATAAACCACCATTTAGAAATACCATGAAGGAAAAGGCATGTGTTTGGGAACACACAGATTTGCACTGTTGTGGTCTTTCCTCTAATAAAGGGATTTTTTCAATGCTGTCAATATAAAAAACTTAATCAACTAGAGAAACAGAAAACAAATAAACTCCAACAAACCCCAAAATCAAGCCTGACAAACTAAGACCAAAATGCCAGAACAGTAATATATGCTATACAGAGGTCTCAGATAAAGTACTTGGGTGACTTCTTCCCCTGCGTCTTATGGGAACATACCCAGATCTCACTGGGAAAAGCAGTAGAAACTATACATATTAATAATTGTACAGGAATTTTTCTCCTTTGAAGGAAGGAAAACTAGCTACTAATGACTGTGCTTCTGAATCTGACACAGTCTTCCAAAGCCCACTGTTTGCCTAGTATCTTTATACAGAAAATTGAACATCACTAAAAAGACACTTATGCTCTCACCTTTGTTATAAAAAACTAACAAAACTCATTCAGACTTTAACTAGAAAAAACATCTTGAAACTGGGACATAAAATAAAAAATAAAATGAATACTTTGAAAATGTACACAATGGAGGATAGAACCAACCTTCCAGCATTGATAACGTTGAGATCAGTTCCTGAGCAAATATCTTCCACAACATACGAATTCTCTGAGCAGGATACATTTAAGGATGTATAGTTAGGCTTGCAAACAGTCAGGAAATATGGTGCCTGATATCCTGTTGATAGCTGTATAATATCAGTAACAAGAGCAGTAGAACAAAGACCAAACACATGAACACCTAGGAAAGAAAGCAACAGAGCTTGTTATAAATTTATATGCATAAATTAGATTAATTCAATGTGACAAAACACATTCAGTGGAATTCTAGTGGCTTGTGTCATTGGACTTGAGAGAATTTAACTGAAGAATAAGATGTATTTTTTTAATGAAAGCTTACTGCACAATTGAATTCTTTAATGTAAAAAATCAAGCTTATTTATGCTTGTTTTCTTCCAGTTGATACTTACTTCATTTTGATGGCTTGATGTCCTCCAACATCTTCTTATAAAAGTGAACTACACTGGAGCTGCTTCAATTTGGAAAGCAGTTTTCTGAACTGACTAAAGGACAGCCAACTATTTGAGGAGAGCATATGTGCTCGTCCAATCCTTCGATTTGCCCACTGGGTTACAGGCTTTTAATAACATGGGCAGCTGCCCATTAGATCACTGCTTTGAGGACCTGTTCTCTTTTTACCGCAAGGGACTCATCAGCTGAGTCAAAGAGACAGATGAGACATTCTATAAGCGA